GCTCGAGCTCGGACCCCCAACTGTCACCGACGCAGCGGTTCAGGATTGAGAGCCCCGAACTCAGGGGTAACAGGATTTTTATAGGGGTTACAGCAGGAATGAGGAAGTTTCAATTAGAAAATTACAGGATTGGTTAACATTTTTCAAATTGCGAGTTGTCCCTACTTGATTGGCTCTGTGTTGTGGGTTGAAGCCCTAAACTGCCGTTTCTAACTATTTTAGGTAAGGTATTTCCTTGCTATTTACTGACTGGTTGTTGCTAGGTAAGTATCGATGGGGTGAGGGTAGTCAGGGCTGCTTGTAGTTTTTCCAGTAACTAAAGCGTGAAGCAAATGCTAAGGCACATTGAAAAAATGGTTATATAAACGGCTATATTGTTGTTGTTGTTGTTATGTGCCCTCGAGTCGGCCCCGACTCATAGCGACCCCTCCTTGGGTTTCCGAGGCAGTATCACTACGGAAGTAGGATTGCCCAACCTTCCTTCCGAGGAGTGGCTGGTGGGTTTGAACCGCCAGCCGTCTGGTTAGCAGGCAAGTGTCTTAGCCACTATGCTACCAGAGCTCTATACAGGTGGTTATATAAAAAACATGGTCTCACAATATATGAAGCCTGACTGCTCAGAGGTTTCTCATTTACAAAGGATATAGAAATAACTCTGCAGTGAAGGACTATCTACAAACACTTCCCTTTTAAAATTAATTAATAATAAATTAATCCTAAACATTTTAAAGTGAATTAGTATCATTAAATCAAATAAATACATTAAGTTGAAGGAAAAAAATGTTTTTCCTAAATCGTAAAGAAAAACACCTAAGTTGTGTGGAGACATACCGGGTGCTTGGGAACTGAGTCATGCCTTCCAAACAAATGGTTACGACATCCTTGTCGGTTTTACCTGCTGATGATACAAAGTCTAAGTCAAGGGAAAAATGATTCTGGCAGAGAGCTTGAAGATAAAAATCAACTAGGATTTTACGAAGTCTCTCGGTAAAAGTAAACTTTTTTTTTTTTTTTTGGACCGTTTAGGTAAATGCAACTTTTTGAAAAAACAATTGGTCATTTGGTATTTTCATAAGGGCCCTACCTTCTTTCCACTTACCTGCTCAAGGAGATGACAAACAGTTGTCCTTGTTTTAGCAACCCATGTTACAATCCACATTCCTTTTAATCCAAAGCAAAGTTCAGAAACGGGTTCCCAGCCCTGCTCAAGTCCAACTTGAAGTGTAGGTGTTTGGTTATGATCTCACCTATCCACACCTGGAGACCTTGTCACAACACGGGCAAGCCCAAACAATAACTCGTTCCTCCACAACATTCTCTCCGTAACATGACATACAGCACACCGAATGCTTTTGTAAAGTGAGGCATCTCTTCAAGGTGACTTCTCTCTACTTTTCTGGGCTCCCTTCCACAAACTGTCTCTTTTCTTCTATTTGTTCTGAATTCTAAGGTTCATCTTCCTGAAGTACCACTAAGATCAGGGCACTCCTTCACTTAACCATCCATTTTCCTAATGAAATTCAAACCCCATAACAAAGCAATCAAGAGTTATTACCAATGAATAAACAACCGTTTTCCTACCATCCCACATTTCTTGACCGTTCCTGCTTGTTGACTCATGCTGTTTCCTGCACACTTCAATACTCATTTTGTGTACGGCAAGTCTACTTTTTTATTTTTTTTTTTGAAAGATACTGTGTTTTTTATGAGAGTTTACACAGATTAGGTTCCTACTCAACAATTTCTATAAATTGGTCAGCGACACTGGCTATGCTCTTTACACCATGTGAACATCCTCATTTCCACTGTAAATGTTGTATTACTGGAGTAATCTAGTTTCTCTGCCCCTTCACCTTCTCAAGGTTGAGAGTCAGGACGTTAGTCTTGGAGAGACCTCCAGTCTCGACTGGTACAGTAATTGTGGATTCTAAACTATCTGAGGCTCTGTTCCACATTTTTCTCTATCAGGATCCATCTATCGTGTGGCCCTGATCAGGACTGGTTGTTGTTGCCGTCATGTGCTGTTGAGTCGGCCCCAACTCATAGTGACCCCTCCTTGGGTTTCCAAGGTAGTATCACTATGGAAGTAGGATCACCCAATCTTCCTTCCGAGAGAATGACGGGTAGTGGTAGTCATTCTGCTCTCAGGGTAGATGAGGCCATGGTTTACGTAGTTAGTTCTGTTGACTGGTTTCTTCAATGTGTTTTGGGTTATCTTCTACTTACCTAGTCTTTAAGGTTTAGCTTAAGGGAAACCTCTCCCTGGAAGTCTTCAAATACCTTCCACACGAATACTTAAACCAGTGGTCCTCTCATTTGAAGGTACTTACTTCCTCACCAGGTGATTCTTCCACCAAACGGTCCAAGTTCCTTACTGGATTTCATTTTCACTGACAGGGTACCATCACCCTCCTACTTGTGTAGAAGCATCCTGAAGATGGGGTTCTACCATTTACTTCTTTTAATGCCCCGAAGCACTTTGAACACTCATGTCAAGTGTGCCCTCAATAACTAATTAACAAATGAAGAAACAGGAGCACTTTTTTTTTTTTTTAGAAACTAGTGCTTTTTGGGAGCTCTGGTAGCATAGTGTCTAAGGCACGTGACTGCTAACCAGAAGGCTGGCAGTTCAAACCCACCAGCCACTCCTTGGAAGGAAGATGAGGCAATCTACTTCCATAGTGATACTGCCTTGGAAACCCAAGGAGGGGTTGCTATGAGTTGGGTCCGACTCGATGGCATGTAACAAGTGCTTTTTAGAATTTTCAACAGGAAGGCATAGAAGGCTTAAGAGCATGGATTTAGGGACCAGAGACCTCAAGATTTGACTGCACACGGAGCAGCAGTAATTGAAATGCGCCTTTATGTAATGAGAAGCAGCCCTGGTGGCACAGTTGTTAAGCACTCAGTCGGCAATTCAAATCCACCAGCTGCTCTGCAGGAGAAAGGCGTGGCAGTCTGCTTCCATGAAGACGACCTTTGGAAACCCAGTGGGGCGGTTCTGCCTGCCATCTAGGGTCATTCTGAGTTGGAAATGACTTGATAGCAATGGATTCTGTTATTGATGGTACCCTTGGGTGGTACAAATGGTCAAATGCTTGACTACTAGCCAAAAGGACGCCAATCTGAATGCACCAAGAGCCACCTCGGAAGACAGGTCTGGCAATCGCCTTCTGAAGTCAGTCTTAAAACCCCAGAGTGCAGTTGTATTATGATACACATGGGGCTGCCACTAGTTGCCGTCACTGGATGGCGACTGATGTGTTATTACCAGTCATGTCTTAGGTATTTCCTTTGAAAAAAATAAAATGAAGTTACTAACACTTACCCATGACTGTAACACACTTTTAACATGACGTCTGGCATATACTAAAGAGATAAGTGTTAGATGTCTGTAACATCCAAAGAAGACTCCAGTAATTCATTATTTAACCTGTAAACCAAACCCATTGCCTTCAAGTTAAACTGCCTCACAGGGCCTCTAAGGCGGGAAGCTTCATGGAAGCTGACTAGCGTTATCTTCCTCCCATGGAGTGGCTGATGGGTACGACCTGCTGACCTTTCAGTTAGCACCACGTTGCTTCACGATCGTGCCACCAGGACTCCTCCTCATTACTTAAAGGGGCATTCAAATGACTGCTTCTCTGATAGCAGGTACAGTCAAGTCTTTAGTTGAAGATCTGACATCTCTCCAAAACCACTCCTTGAACACCGACAAGTCAGATAATGTATGCATGAGGAGCACTGCGTAAACTAATGCAAAGGATCGTCTGTAGTATGTACTTAAACTCGGCTGAAAGTATTTAACAATTTATTTCTAGCCTGTTCTGAAGGCTTTCAAATGAAACTTGCTCCTTTCATATTATTTCCCTATATTGTTTACAGAATAGTAAATTTGATCGTTGAAATTCTTAAAATGAAAACTGAATCCAGAATGGTTACACTTTGCTCCCTCTGCTGGCCACAGGGCTGGATAGCACTACTGGAGACTAGTTAACTCACAGTGGATCAGCTAAATGCTTATTTTCGTGGACTTGGTCAACGAAGGATAAAGATGTAATGACATTCCACCTAAAAACAAAAACCAAAGTTTCAGGTCTGTCTCACTTACCTGACAATTGAGAATTTATGTCTAGTTTTAACTACTAATTATCTTAGGGGTTAAATCTAGCAGATACTTCAGTACAAAGGCTACCCGCCTACATTTTTCCTCAAAACCAATTCCAAAATTCTGTTTCTAGACTGAAGGGTAAAATCCACCAAGAAACACTAAAGTGGTGATTTCTTAGAAGTCTGTGTTTTGCTACCACTATTTACAACCATGTAATTTATGTCCCAAACTTATGGTTGTAGATACTGATTTAATCGAGAATCACTTTTGTTTGTATTCAAAGGCTTAGATTACATGTATGAAAACTAATTTATTAAACCTCTGTCCACAAAGATGAACACACCTGTATAGCAAGCTTACGTGAAGAATGAAGTTACAAAAAAGTAAAAGTGTTATTATTAAAATTGATGCATGGAAATCACTTACAAAAATACCCCAAAAGGGATAAAGCTGCTCCTCCCTGATTTTTCTTATTTGGTTGCTGGAGTTGAAATAGGACTTTAAAATGGTCAGAATGTTTTCTTTTAAAAAGTGATGTATTAAACTTATGTACAGGATAGTTAGCAAAACGTAGAAAGGGAAAACAACGTACAAAAGAGAAAAACCGTCACTGACGGAAACGCACGATCCAAAAATATCATCGGCCTTAACAAATGATCTCTAAACCTGCTCCTAATCCAAATTTTTTCTGGACAGAATAAAATATAGTAAACTTGCGGGCCTTGTCTTTGCATTCCTTAAAAAACAGTCTTGGCTGTTGACCACACTTAAACCTGGGACAGATTTTTAAAAATGAGAAGGACAAGTGGGAACACGATTTTATCCGTCCGCTTAGTATTCATTAACAACAGAAAGTGAGAGAGAAGAGTTCTCGATGCTCTGACAAGCCTTACTCAGAAGACTTTTTGTTTTTTTGCTGGTTTCGGGGCGAGTTCTTTAATAAGTTCCTTATCCTGAGATACATTCCAGTAGATTCTGCCATATTCTCAAATTCAAACGGAGTGATTCCAGTTGCAAACTTGCTCATGTCGGGTATGGGACTGTGAGTTTTAATGGCTATGGAAGGACTGGTGTCCGGCTGCAGGAGCTTCTGGCTGCCCCCATTACTAATGTCACAGTTTGACACGACACCACCGTTATCGAAATGGGCATCTTGAGAGTCTCCCTGGGCAGACTCTTCCTTTTCCTTCGGACAAAGTAACACAGCCTCTGCGTCTGGGCTCGTCAAGGAAGGTTCCATTTCAGATTTCTCCGTACAAGCGTCGGGCACCTTGGCTTCAGGTGGCCCCTCGGCTCCACCTGGCATCTGCTTTTCCGAAGGTTTTCCCTCAGGAATGGGGAGGTCTAGTTCGTTTGGACAAGGTGAAGAGGCAACAGAATTCCCAGTTAAAGGTGTGTCAACAGGAATGTCAGAATCACTGTTGACACTCTCGGCCTGTTCGAGAGCCGCCCAGATCCGCCTCTGCTGTTCCTCAAGTTCTTCCAGAGTCAGGGTGTCCTCGTCCACTGCTGCAGATGCTGTGCGGGGCTGGGGGGAGTCGCTGGGCGTCACCGGTGGGGTGCCCTTGGGGAGAGGTGGCATCAGAAGGGGTGGAGTGCCAGGAGGCAGTGGGGGTTGGAACTCAAAAGCACAACTCTCAGAACCATGGGGCACCTCCACATCTGAAAACAAGGAAGTTACAAGACAAGTTAGAAGGTGTATTAACATTTGGTTTTTCTAACATTTATTATCTGAACTAAACAAAGTGTGGCCAGAGACTTGATGGCTGAAGAAGGGGAAAACTCTATGGAGACTTGGTCACCAAGCCCAACCCCTAGTCTCCTCGATCCACTTGAAAAGCACACGGTTTCAGAGCAGGCACTCCGGCACCAGGAACTTCAACCAAACCCTTGGGAATTCCGTTACTGTGCTGTGCATGTCATTGCAGACGGAGGAGCCGTGAATAGCAACATGATGACAGAGCAGTTTCTGGAAGTGAAAAGGGGGTCCGTGGGAGACCACAGGGGGAGTTCTGGCTGGAAACGCAAGCTGCTTGATGACAAGAGTGGGGAGGATGAAGGGGACGAGGCTGAAGAGACCTAAAAATACAGCCAGTGATTCCAGTCCTGTGCTCCTGGTCCGGCCTGCTCATTTCACCACGGGCTCCCACTGTTCCTGGTCATCACCACCTACACAGCCCACCCACACAAGATCCAGGAGCTCTGGTGATGCAGTGCCTAAGGCATCTGACTGCTAACCAGAAGGCTGGCGGTACAAACCCACCAGCCACTCTTTGGAAAGAAGATGGGGCAATCTACTTCCATAGAGAATCCACTTCAGATACCCAAGGAGGGGTCGCTATGAGTCAGAATCAACTCTACAGCAGTGAGTTTGGATTTCCTAAAGTCTCCTGAAACCTGGTTCGCATCCTGGCTTTTCTTCCACTAGAGCACCCAGGGCTATCTGGCATTCAGAATCCTTCCCTCTAGCCCCATGCCCTGATGCTGGCTCTGTGGGGTCCAGGCTCCTGTACTAGGCCATAGCCACGGCCATGTTTCAGGCCCATTACTCTCTGCCAACATTAAGAGCAGATTCTACCTCTGAGCATACCCGCCTTGCACAGTGAAACCTGTCAGAGCTGGAACTTGCTGAGACTGCCTTGTTTTTCCAACTTTGACAGGATGCAGTCTTACTATTTCTCTACTGCATGTTTTAGTGGGAAATATTTACATTTTTCTTCTCTGACGAGATTCTGCCCTACACATGCCAGCTTTCACCGTCTGCTGCTAGATGAATCTTTCTGAAGCAGAAATCTGATCTGATCAACCTTCCTGCCATAATTCAACAGTTCAGTGCCTTCCCACTGCTGACAGGGTGATGAAGTCCCCACCTCTGCGTTTTGAGGGCCATCTCCAACCAAGGAGCCCTGCTGGTGCAGTGGCTAAGCACCTGCCTAACCAAAATGTCAGCGGTCTGAACCTATCAGCTGCTCCATGGGAGAAAGATGGGGCAGTCTGCTTCCATAAAGATTACAGCCTTGGAAGTTCTATGGGGCAGTTCTACTCTATCTTATAGGGTCGCTATGAGTCAACTTGGAATTGACTCAACCACAACAGTCCTTTTTTTGTTTAAATTTTGCCAGCTGCTGAACTGCTAGGAGTTACTACTGTTGTCCAGGTTACAAGTGGCGGGGATATGCCCCCGTCCAGCTGACACTGAGGTCAAACGTGGAAGCAGTGGTAAACTGACGCAACGTTCGTCTCCTTCCCAGGACTAAGAACCCCACCCTTTATTCCCACGGCCCTGGCACAGCAGTGCTCAAGCAGCTGGCTGCTAACTGAAGGGTCAGTGGTGTGAACCCACTAGCTGCTTGTTGGGGGAAAGATGTTGCAGACTGCTTCTGTCAAGATTAGTCTGGGAAACCCTATGGGGCAGTTCTACTACTCCATAGTGCTGCTGTGTGTAGGAACTGGTCTGCCGCAGTGGGGCTGGTCTGGTCTCCAACCCACACCCTGCCTATCTCCACCATGTCATCTTACTGCCTAGTGTCAACTGCAGCTGTCACTCAGCTGGCTGCCTGTGTGTTTGACAGTTCATTTTCCTTTTGCACTTCCCTGTCTCAATGTCCTAAGCACACTCATCAACCTGGCAGATTCCTCCACTCACCAGTCAACATGCAGCTTGATCCTGGTCTATGACTTCACTTGACACAGTGCTCAGCCCTTCCTGTGTACTTCCCTCATACCCTGCAATCACTGTGGGGGCAGCTGACTGTACTGTCTCTCTGTCTGCATCACTACAGGCTACTTTGTTACGTTAAAGTGATATTTATATTTATGCCACCCGTAGGTGACAGGGAGTGGCTAGCTAAGGGAAGGAGTTATATTATATTCATCTCAGGAACCAGTACAGAGACCTGAACACATAGCACATGTCTAAAAATTGAGAAATTGAACTGAATAATGCAGAATCCCAGAGGCTATGCAAACTAGCCTGAACCTCATCATGCAGGCAAGAAGGCCTGTGAGGAACAAAATACACTGTCTCTCAGATACGCAACCTTCATCAGAGCAGATTGCTACATCTTTCTCCTGCAGAGAGGCTAGTGGGTTTGAACCGCCAACTTCTGGGTCAGCACCAGAGCTTCTCGTGTGTGTGTGTGTATCTAGGGGTAGGTCTGCCTCATTCGGGAATTCAGGTACTGGCCCATTTGGCTGTCACACCAGACTGTGTCCTTCAGTTCAGCTTTCATCAGTAATAAAAGCAATTATTTCATTTCCAAAAATAAATCAAAAGCATGGTATTTACTCAGTGTGCCCATCATTTCCTTTCATAAAGACCCTCCCCCCAGCCCCAGTGAACCAAGGAGCATGCCAGTCTATCCTCCTTCCCAATGAAACTAAAGCCATGTGACAGAACCCACCTGAGTCGAGCTCCATGTTGGCAGGGGACGTGTCGGAGCCGCTCTCCTTCTTCTGCTTCTTTGGACTACAAGGGCTTGACTGAGATGAAGACCGCTTATTGCCAGACCTCGTACTTGGCTACATGGAGGGACCAAGGCAAAAATGAATTAGATGGGGTACCCAAAAGATGGAAACGATCTAAGTATCCATCAATGGAGGAATGGATAAACTGTGGTACATACACACAACAGAAAACTGCAACCCTAAAGAACAGTGTATAATCTGTGAAACACCGCATAATGCGGATGAACTTGGGAGGACATTATGGTAAGTGAAATAAGTCAATCACAGAAGGACAAATATTGTATTAGTTCATTAGTGTAAAAAGTCAAGGAAAGGTTTATATATGGAAGGAAACTTTGTTGGTTACTGGGGTGGGAGGGGTGGGGAGGAAACACTGCAAACAAACAAACAAATAATAATGAAATAGAGTAAATGAACAAAAGCCCTTTGTAAAAGCCCACCCTGAAACTCCATTTACCGCCTGGAAGTTAGAAGTGAGGTAGCTGGCAAACACGTCCTTGTGCTGACACGCCTGCATGGGTATGGAACCAAATATCCTCCACTCCTAAAGGCAAAGAGACAGGGAAACAAGAATGCATCTGGAACATTTCATGCTTGGAGACTCTGCTCAAAGGGGTCAAGTGGAGTTCTCAAATTATTCGTCTTGTCCCACACGTGATTCCTTCTTTCCTGGGAATGAAGGGCAGTAATGGTGCTTTGAAGGGAGAACAAAACATCAAAAAATCCCAGCTGGAATGGTCAGATCTGACAAAAAGACTGAAAAAACCCACTTGGGCCAAGGTTCCACCTACAGTAAGCAGAAGTTCTAGGTGGTAACGACAAAGCCTCTGATGGGGCCTCCCCAGCCCCAGCCTCTCCCATCATGCATCAGTACTGCGGACTGACTGCTCATGCTGGGTCCCTGTCCTCTGCTGGGTACTAACATTCAGGGTTCAACAATGTCATCTCTCTCAGCTTCCACAGCACACTCAACAGGGGTTCTCTTGTTAAGGACTCTGGGGGCTGGGTCAGGTTAAGTCTCAGGATGGGGCTCAAGAAGGTATACTTTAAGTGAGTACTCCAAGACCTGGCTGGTACTTGGACTCACCTCTAGAAGCACTGACAGCTGGTACCAAACAAGTTAGCCCTCAACCACACTGTCTCATGAGAGTCACTTTCCATCTCTTTACTCTAAATTCAGATCGTTGGCCTCTTCTCTACACTTACTTTCTAAAATATCCAAAATGCATCTTTTACTAAAACAACACCAGCATTAGCAACAAAATAGCAGTTAATTATTGAATCTTGAGACACAAGATCCAAGTAGGAAAAGAATTAAGTATAGAAAACTATTAAATTAATTGTGTGTGTCTGTGTGTGTGTGGGGGGGGGGACCCAGGAGCTCTAGTAGCATAGTGACTAAGGCACTTGACTGCTAACCAGAAGGCTGGCAGTTCAAACCCATCAGCCACTCCTCGGAAGGAAGATGGGGCAATCTACTTCTGTAGTGATACTGCCTCGGAAACCCAAGGAGGGGTCGCTGTGAGTTGGGTCCGACTCGATGGTACACCACCACCACCACCACCACAACAGTGGGGGGGACTTCAACCACTGTCACGTGCACACTTCAGGGCCATGGATAACCTTCACGATGCTGTGCACCACCAGTGTTCCCACATACTGTCATCACCCCAATAGGAACTCAGTGCCTGTGAAGCAATAACGCTCCACTTTCCCTGGAAAACTATTCCTGTCTGGAGTGAGAACTTCTACTTTTGAGATGAAAAAAACGGAAGAAAGAATAGGAACAGAACTACAGTATACTAGAGGTATATTAAAGAGCTTATTTCTGAAGTGATTCTGTAAAATTTCTAACACTGTCTCAGAACCACCCAGATTTAAAAATAAAAAAACACAACCCACTCTTTTTTTTAGGTTTTAGATTTATAGAAAAGCTGCAAAGACGGGAGAGCACTCCAGCATACCCCACGTGCTGTCTCCCTCATTACTAACATCTTATATTCACTCCAGATTTCAAAGCAGTAGCTATCCTTCTTTAGTTTTAGAAATGTACACTTAGAAGTTTATACCCAGAAAAACCAAACCCACTGTCATCGAGTTGATTCCAACTCACGGCAACCCTCTAGGACAGTAAACTGCCCCATAGGGTTTTCAAGGTTGTGTATCTTTATGGAAGAAAAGCCCAACTGACATCCACTGCTGTCGAAATGATTCTGACTCGCAGCACCCCTAGAGGACAGAGTAGAACTGCCCCACAGGGTTTCCAAGGCTGTAATCTTTAATACCAGCTGACTGCTATATCTTTGTCCCACAGGGAGTCTGGACAGGCTGGTGGGTCTTTGGTCAGCAACCAAATGCCTTAACCAGTACACTACCAGAGCTCCTGAAGTTGATACATTTTCTTAAAAGTCTGAAAAACTAAAATAACAAAATTAGGAAAATAAAAATCACCATTTGATTTTAACTCCTACCTACTTTGCTATTTACTGCTTTACGTATAGTAACTGCTACATAAGCTAACAATCTTTAACATAAGTACTGTACATCCCAGAAGAAGAAAACAAACAAATAATATACTTACATCTGGAATTCCTCTGGGAGTAGATATATTAAAACCTGGATAGTTTACCAATTTGGAGAGATCGTAAGTGACGCTTTTATTCTGCTGTACCTCGCCAGCTTCTGCTTCCCCGTTGGCATCATCTGTGAAAGACCATCAGAGGTGTTACTACTGCCAGACGCCAACACGGGGCAACTGGAACATCGCAAGGTTTCGGGACACAGAAGAGGGCCATGCCACGTTTCTCTTTGGTTAATTTTTCCTGGCGGGGGGAGCAGCGAAAAATTTTGCTTTTATGTTTTAATTTGAATTACCAAAGTAATACGAGACATTATTTTCAGTTTTTAAAAATGACAGCATTAGAGATAAAATTAAAGTCCTTAGCCCAATTCTCTTTCCCTTTCTCAACGGTAACCACTGTTGAGTTTGCATAGTTCAGACCTTTTAAGGATACTATTTTCATACACGTGACCCTACAGAAAACACAGCATTGTTTTAACCATGTAGTTTCTTAGTCTTTTTAAAGACAAATGGAATCGTCTGAGTGGTTTGGAACCTTGCATTTTCACACTCAGTAGTATTCCAGCTCATGGACCTTTCGTACATGTTACAGGGACTCCATGGCCCAGACCTATCACAGCTTGTATAGTCACTCTGGTGGTGTAGTGCCTAGGCATTTGACTGCTAACCAGAAGGCTAGCAGTTCAAACCCACTAGCCACTCCTAAGAAGGAAGGTTGGGCAATTTACTTCCGTAGAGATACTGCCTCAGAAACCCAAGGAGGGGTCACTATGAGTCAAGACCAACGCGACGACGGTGTGTTTGTTTTATTGAAGTTCTTTTTAATTTTTCACTCTCATGTTCCATAGCACAAAAATACGCTTGCCTATAGCTCCTGGTGCACACGGATGGCAGTGCATAGGAGGAAGTCTACACTTGAAGGTCCATACAGTCTTAAACTGCACAGGGTTCTTAGTACTGAGAGGTACACAGGTATACCTCAGAGAGCAAAGCAATAAAGTGAGTCACAGGAAGTTTTTGGTTCCCCAGGGCATACAGAAGTTACATTTACAGTATACAATATCATATATTAGTATATAATAGTCATCTATTAAGTGTGCAATAGCATGATGAAAAAGTCTGAAATATCATGAAAATGACCAGAACGGGACACAGACACACACAGGGAGTACACGCTGCTGGAAAAATGGCACTGACAGACTTGATCGATGCAGGGTCGCCACAAACTTTCAATTTGGAAAAAATGCAATTACCTGCAAAGCGCAATAAAGTGAACAGGGATGAAACGAGGTAAGGCCTGGATGTTTGACCTTTACTGAGAAAGGCAGAGCCTCTGAGGACAAGCTGGGAGTCTCTATGGCAGCCCAGGGAGTCACTGAGCAAGCAGACCTCCACCTACTCATTCCAGGCACTCACTGAGGGGTTACGGACTTCCTTGCAAAATAGGAAACATCAGTTTGGCGTTTTTTAGTTAGCTCAGCATACATACATCAAACAAGCCAGACATCCCTATTACATTTTGATATGATACTTTTAATTAAAAAAATAAATAAATAAATAAAGGAAGAAAAAGCTAACACTCATGCTGACTTATCCAGCATGACATACCATACCTTTTCCATCATAGAGTGCAAGCCCTGAGTTTTCCAGTTCAGCCTCTTTGAGCCAGCCTGGTGGGTACCCCAGCTGACGCATTCGATATATGAAAGGTGGGAGGCTCTTGTCCGTCACACCAAGGGCATCCTGAAGTTCTTCACTAAGGGAAAATAGAAGAGGAAGAGGTACACCGCATTCTTGTTTGGATGAAAATACACTGTTTCACTACTTTAACACTTTCCTGTGTCTTATATAATACATGGCATACCGATACACCCCGCTAGGATGTCAATAATGTTGTTGAAAGAAACAATGTATTTACTTAGGGCCTGACTAGAGTCTATTTAGACACTGACAACTATCCTGATGATACACAGGAGGCTTCAAATACTGGGGGTGAAGTGACATGTCTGGTGAAATGACAGAAGTACCTAATAACTCCTGGCTTGAATCTTCCAAATCTTTCTTCCACCTCTTCTGCATGGTACCGCTGCTGAAAATTCTGACTGCTTGCCTCACCACAAGCATCCATATACTCTTTCCTCTTCTCACTTATCCGAGCAGCATTCCGAGGCTAAATCACAGAATGTTTAAAAACAGTCGTTTAGAAATATTCCAGAAATTAAATACAAATAAGCACGTTTTTTCAGGTCAAGCAAAAATTATTTCAATTTTAATGTATAAGGAACAACATGTAAAAAAGAGAGGATTATTTTAGAAAACTATGTAAGGAAGAAAAACAGTTGCTTTAATTTCTTATTTCCTCACTATTATTGTAACATAAACACATGATTTTATGTCATGTGCCTGAAAACGTAAGTTTTTCAAATAAACTGTTTCAGAACCTCTCATAAAGCTGTGCATATCTCACAGAACACTACAATCAGTTATTGTTTTAAAACAAAAGCTAAAATATCAGTGGGAATTTTAAAAAATTTCAAAGGAAAGGACTACAGGAAAGTCACCTAGGAAGTTTCTTCACATCACACAATCCTATAAATGTGTTGAAAATAACAGAAAGCTCTGGTTCAAAGACATTTTTTTATATGAGAAAAATTTACCATTGGGCAATCTTTCATTTGATGCTCTTCTGAACCACAATTGAAACAGTGAGGCTTTGGCCTATTTGGTCAAAAGACAAAGATTTTCAAAATGTAAATGAAAATATAAAAGCAAATGGATAAAATTACCTATGACAGCAAATTGTATCAGAAATAAGACAGCAAGTAGAGGAGAGATTACTAGAGTCGGCAACAGTAACAGGCACTTATTAATATATACCCCCATACTCAGCAGGACAGGGCAGTCTTTTAACCAAGAACCCTCCTGCTCCTGACCTCTGGGTTTTAACAGTGGTCAGTAACCAAAGAACTGAGGCAAACAGATGATCAGAGTTCCTTCAGGTAACGTGCAGAGAGGGCAGGTGGTTAGAAGACACCAGTCAAACTGACAGCAACAATTACACCTGTCCACCCACCCAGGCACATTAGGCACGAAGCAATGAATTCTAATAAAGATGACTGATTTAAATATATACATTAACATTCTATCTTAACCTGAAATTTACTTGATAGTAAACCAGTAATAAAGATAACATTAAAACTAATAAACTTTCCAAGTTTAAAGGTTTTATGGTGTTGGTTAAAAAAACAAACAAAAATATGAGGATAAAACAAAAACAACTCCCCACACAAACCTTTTTGCCTTTACTTGTATTTCTTGCCCTTCTAGAGAAACAATCTGGCTGAAGACTTGCTGGTACCTTTAGTGAACTTTATTAAGGAACAGTTATCAAAGTCTGTACAACTAGGTTAAATGTTTACAGGTGGATTTAATGGCAAGGCGCACAAGAGGTCTTCTTTCACTAGGTAGGATACTTGGGTATTTCCCATCCTTCCGAAAGCTGAGGATTCTCATTTAGTAGCGGTTGCCCCAATTTATCAAGGCAAAAATTAGTAAAATACAGGACACTTCCTACAACCTGCAGAAAACAAGTCAAAAGATAGTGCTATTTAAGCAAGAAAAAAAGACATTGAGTAATGTAAGACTATGATTAAGTGCCTTAACAGTTTATTTTTGGATGACATGGTTAGAACTAATGATTACCTCCCTAATTATATAAGCCAGATTTTGATACGGAAAAGCTACATTTTCAAATTCCCCTCTCTCTCCTGGATCACTACTATGCACTGTCCTCTCTTCAGACTTCAAACAAGAGTGAAACAAGAGCCCTCACCTTCCCATTCCCCATTTGCTTGCGTCCTGTTTGCAGCAAGATGCTCACAAAGGTGTCTCTCCGTTTCCATTTCTTTTTCCCCCATTCCTTTTCTTTTGCCCTCATTATTAATTTTTTTTTTAAAATGTCATACAGCAAACTTGAAAGAATGATGCAATGAACACTCATGTACCCTCCACCAGGATTCAAGCCCTGAGAATCACTGGCCACATTTTTGCTCATGTCTATTCGTACATCACACATACACATGCACCCCTTTTTTTTTCACTGAATCATATGAGAATTGCCGACATCATCCCACTTCACCCCTAAACACTTCTAAGAATCAGAAAATTGTTACAAACCAAGATACTGTCACCACACCCATGAAAATAATAATTCTCCAATGTCATACGACATCCAATCTGTATCTAGTTTTCCCAGTTTCCCATTTCACCAAAATGCTTTTTATAGCTTCCCCCAAAACGAGGATTTGATTCAGGTTCCCCCACTGCACTTACATGCTACATCATTATAGTCTTCTGTAATCTAGAACAGTGTCTCCCAATTTTTTTTTTTTTTTGTAAATGACTCCACCATTCTCTCTTGACCTTCCCCAGGAAGGTTTTAGTTCCCATCACTGCTCTAATCTTCTGATGGAAGTTCAGCAATGGCCCCCATAAAGCCCCGTTCAATGGAGAGTCCTGTCTTCATCTTACACAGCCAACCGGCCACCAGCTCTGGTGAGTCTTCCTTCTGGAAACATCTCCTTTGCTCCCAGAACACCATTCTCGGGTTCTATTTTGCCTTACTGACCACTGCTTCTCAATCTTTGCTAAATCTTTCTGTGGTTTAGAGTGGGCTGGGGCTCAGTCCTTCTACCTCCTCTCTCCTTTCACTCCTTTGGTGATTTATCCAGACCCACAGAATGAAGTAACGTTTATATACCAACAACCTCCTAATGTCCAATCCTGACCCCTCCTAAACACCAATCTTGTGCAGCCAAGGGCAGATTTGACAGCTCGACTTGGCTGTGTAACAAGCACCCCAAACACACATATTAAAAATAGAACTGGCTTCCCACTTCCTCCAAACTTGCTCCTCTTCCAGTCTCCCCCGTCACAGTAAAAGGCAACTCCATTATTCCAAGTAGTCAGACCTAAGTCATTCCGACTACTCTTTCTCTCACAGTCCACATTCAATTCATCAACAAATTTGATAAGCTCTACTTTCAAAGTATATCCAACTTCTGACCCCTTCTCACCACCGCTACAAGCACTCTGTCAAAGGAACACTTTCTTTTCTTAACTGGGTCTCCAGTTTCTACACTTAACTACCTATGGACCATTTTCTACACAAAAGCTACTTCTTTTAAAAGTGCAAGTCACACCATGGCACATCGCCACTTACAACCCTCCGATGTCTTCTCATCTCAGGGTAAACTCTAAAGTCTTCACTGTGGCCTACATGACAACCTAAGGGTTCGGGACATAAGACTCTGGAGCCATAGGGCAAGAATTTAAACCCTGGCTTTCTATGCCTACTCCATCTGTAAAACAAGAATATTAATAGTACTTTCAAGAGTTGTGGCTGTAATGAGCTCAGAACAGTATCTGGTACATCAGAATTAAGACAAAGTGTTGGCTTCTGCCTCAAGCCTCTCCCATCCACTTTTCCTACTGCCTAGAATACTCCCCAGGGAGCTCTGGTGGCAGTGACTAAGGCATTTGACTGCCAACCAGAATGCTGGTGATTCAAACCCACCAGCCATTCCTCAGAAGGAAGATCGGGCAATCTACTTCTATAGTGACACCGCCTCGCAAACCCAAGGAGGAGTCCCTAGTAAGTCGGATCCGACTTGACTGCAATGAGTTTTTTGAGAATATTCTTTACTCTAACAACATCAGGATCCCTCCCCTCCCTCACTTCACTCAGGTCTTGGCCCTGGAAGGCTACGACTAACCACTCCATACAAAGATCGTACTCCACAGTGACTCCCTAACTTTTTGGCCTGCTTTATTTCACTTCTCCCACCAGAATGTAATTCAAAGAACATCTCCACTTTCTTCTATTGCTGTGTCCCTGGATCCCAGAACAGTTCCTGGGATAGAGCAACATTCACTAAATGCTTATTTACTATCTGCTAAATAACTAAATAAATAAATGAAACCCCCCAATTTCTGGGCAGGTGTGACTTTAAATCCCAGGATTTCAGAGTTAGAAGGAAAATGAAGTTATCTCAGTCAGACTCAGAAATTTTTCTTTAAAGCATCCTAAGTGTGGCTCAGTCTTTGAGTCTTTGCAGTGAGAGGGAGGTTCACTTTGTTAAATTTCTTGTTAACGACACATATTACTTCAGTTTTCACATCCCTCTTTGTAAGAAATTCTGGTTTTCTAAGAGTTGAATTGAAATTCTTGGACCCAATTCAATCACTGGTCCAAATTCTGCCACTCAGCATTATAAAGGATGATCTATTCCAGAGAACCACCTTTATCCTATCTGCAGAAATGTCAGATCTCCAGTAAGTCTGCTTCTCAGGAAGGTCTGTGGGCTCCTCATCGTCTCAGCAGCACAGTGTTTTTAAAATCACAGTGTATCAACAATGCATTATATTCCATAAGCCTTAAACCTAGTCTTCTTCTAACAGAACCCAAGATAACATTATCTTTTTGAGAGAACAATAAGTTGCAACATCATACTGGACTGCACTGGCACTACTGGATCTTGTGGGCCCTGAAAGGCCTTGATGCTAAATTTGTAGGCTCAGTCAGCTTCTCTCAGTTTTCACCCACTATGCTTGGCTGTTAAAATGTTTGCACTTGAAATCTGCCATCTGTCATCTTAGCTATCCCTTAGCTTCATGCCACGTGTAAATGCAACAAGCATGCTCTCTATATCTTCATCCATGCCCTTGAAAATAAACACAGAGGTCAGGACAAAACCAAAGCCTTCCAAGTGTGCCTTCTGTGCCCGCAACACACAATGCAACAGTTATTGAAAGTTATAATGTGATATTAAGAGTCTGAAGGTTATGCTGTTTTTGATAATAACTTCCACAAAAGAATGTTGTGAGCAACCATGGTACATGCCTTCATTATTTTTTGGCTTCATTATTTAAATGCCACCCAACTGCCATAGAACTGGAAACACAGATTCGTGGAACTCAAAACCATAATGTCCAGACTTACACTGAAAGCTTCCTTGTTGTTTCTAACCGCACCAGCTTCTTCTACTTTATGGTCCTCTTCGAGCACAACACTGGATGGCTAATACACAGGAAAAAAAACACACGTTACAAAGGGTTACCAATTTCTGACAACTTTAAATTTTCAACCTTAGGAATCTGAACGCACTCCTTTGAGTTTCTAACAGACACTAAGAGTATATATAATATTTGTGACCACTGTCGCACATTGTTTAGAAGCTAAGCTAGGTATGTCTAGGAGAGAAATTTCACAAGTGGGCAATTTTAAAAATTAAAGAAGGGAGACAGAAGCAAGTTTCTTCTGAAGCATTGGTATATGCTATGACTTTTCTGCTCATGAGCATTAATTACGGAACATTGAACACTTAAACTATTTATCTTGAAGTCAAATGACTAGACAGATTATAAAAAAGACATAATTTCATGCTACGGGTGGATACCGGTGTTCCGAATAACCCTCACAACACTACAAAAGTTTAATGTGTTCTGAGGATCAAAATTTAAGCAATATTCATTACGGGTTTTTATTGTTGATCGTGCTTTGTTCTTCGATTCTCTAAAAGTTCTATTTGCTAGGTAAAAACAAAAAGTGGTAAGGAAGAAAATCTAATCAGAGCACTTCATTTACCAACCTCCGAGGATCAACTAAAGAGTCTTTCTTTTAGGTTATTTCACAGACTCTACTTACCTTACTTTTAATTTATTTGAAAAACAGAAAAAAAGGCCAGAAAACCAATTTGGATGCATTTTTTACAACAAATACACGTGCCAACATTCACACATGTAAAACCCTCAGACTTCTTGGGGGCACACTACTGATTTTCTTTTAAACAAGTCAAACAAGAAAAGACAACATGTCTGTTTTATCACAGAACAGTAGTCTGTCCATTTTAGATACAAGAGTTAGACAATTTTCTAAAAATCTATAAAACAATCTTCTACCAACTCCAGAAATTTTTTTTTTTTTTTTTCTGGCCTGAAATTAATGGTCTGTGCCAAAACCAAGTGCTCAAGCTTTACTTTGGAGCGTAGCAGGTCTACATGACTCCCCCAGCCAATGGCGCCAGAGTCCAAAGGGAAGTCAGAGGCTACACTGGCCAGGCCGTAAGGAAGCCAGCTCAGGGATGGGAGGGAACAGACCACTGTAACAGACATTCTGGTTGATTCAAGAGGAACCCTGTGGCCTAACCATTGCCAGTGAACAGAACAACCTACTGATCTTAAAGTCTCTAAAGTTTCAAATACCTGGGGCAAAAGATTAAAGGAAGTCTTTTCCACATCATTTTTCTGCTGTTCCTCAAATCTTTTTACTAAATTTGATACAAATTCCTCTATTTCTTGATGATATTGCCTGCACAAGAGGACAAAACGGTCAGAACCCAGACAGAGAACACAGTTCAGAGACTGCAGTCTTACGCACATTCTAAGAGGGCATGCGCACATTCTGAGTCGCAGAGGTTGATCAAATCCCTGATTCATCATAACACTCAGGAACCCACCCCTTAGGAAAAGATATATGTCGTCATCAAATTAAATAAATGATTATGAAAACCTACCCAAGTGCTTTGCATAGAATGATCGCCAAATATTTGTTCAAAGAATAAAAGGATTTATTTTAGAATTTCAGGTCTTCATTGGCAAATAGATGATACAAATACACGTCAACAGTTGAAAACTCAGAAGAAATAAAGGTTCTGTAATGAGGTTTCCTTCCTATCCTGTCTGCCAGCCACCTATGTCTACACCACAAAGGTAACCACTGCATTCCATCCTCACACAGCCTCCTCCAGACTCTTCACGCTCCTACAAGGAAACACTCATATAAATTGTGAACTGGAAAAAATAAGACCAAGAAGCAAAGCAAGACAGAACACCGAGGTCTACCCTCCCGAGTCCTCCAGGCTAGCGGCCACATTCATGAAACACTCTTCACTGCTCACTTCAGGAGGGGTCAAAGGAGCCAGGCCTTACTGGGCTGCCACTGGGCAGTACAATTTCTTGGAATCAGCTTCCTCTTCACAGACTATGTGATCTTTCAAGCGTCTTCTAGCTCTGACAGTCTAGGATTTCGACAGACGAGGCACCAGGGCAATGGTGTAGGAAAGGCATTCCAGTTGAGGGAGAAAGCAGTACGAGGGCCCAGCTGTGCCTAGCATCTGGTGCTACTGCTGCTGCCCTCATCAATATCCAGCGTCCCACCCCCAGAGCCTCAGGTTCTACTTCTGCTGAGACGCAGCAGGTACGGCCTGGCACCCAAGTAACACTGGCTATACTCTCTTTACCTTGCCCAGCACATGAGATGATAATCTGATTAAGTGATTCCGAGGGGACAAGCAACTGTCTGAAATGTCTATGGCCATGCTCTAAGAAGGGCCAGGGCACGGCCTCAAACCATTTCAGAATACTCTGGCAAGCACTGCAGGACTGCAACAAGTCACTCCAGACCCAAGCATGCTGGAAAGCTTGCAAAAATCATCCTGTGGTGAGGTTTGAAGATAGCCAATATAGAAAACTCTGTCACCTGATTTGGGGAGAGAAATGGCTAACGTTATTACTGTGGTGGGGGTGGTGATTGTTCTTAGCAGTTATTTACTGAGCAGAAGGAGCCCTGGGGAGGCAGTGGTTAAGTACCTTGCTGCTAACCAAAAGGTCAGCAGTTTGAACCTACCAGGTGCTCTAAGGGAGAAAGATGTGGCAGTCAGCTTATGTATGAAGATGACAGCCTTGGAGACCCTGTGGGGCAGTTCCACTCTGTCCTCTAGGGGCGTTGTGAGTCGGAATGGACTCCAAAGCCGAAGGGCTCGTTTGGGCTTTGCTTCTGTGAAGACTGATAGCCTTGGAAACTCTCTGGGACAGTTCCACTCTGGTCTCTAGGGGCGCTGTGAGTTGGAATTGACTCAACACCAACAGGTTTGTTTTTTTGTTTATTGGGCAACTTGTTGGTGTTGTTGCCCCACATGTGCAAGGTTTTCAAGGCTGTGAAACAAAGTGCCAGGCCTGCCTTCTGAGGTGTCTCTGGGTGGGTTCACACCACCCACTTTCAGCTCTGAGTCGAGTGTTTCACCCTCTACACTACTCAGGAACACCTACAGGTGCTGCTAGTTAAGATTCATTTCCTGTTCTCAGTGTGGAAACTGATATACAGAAAGTTCAGTGACTTGTTCAGGTTCACATATATAGGAAGTAGGAGTTCAGATTCAAATTCAAGTCTATACTGATGCCAATGTCCTTGCATTTAATCAATGATTCCATAAACTTTAACTCCAGGAACACTTCAGTGAAAGAATCAAGATATTTAAGTGTGAATGAAAACAGCAATTTTATAGAAGACATTATACATAAACACATTAACTCATTATATTTAGGAAAAGAAAAAAATTACTTACTTTGAAATAGAATTGTTCATAAATAGAATCTGTAATAAAGGTCCATCTAACTTAGTATTGTTCACCAATATTCCACTAAAACAGAAGTTAGAATATATTCTTAGAAGATATTAAAGTGAAACTTGCATATGTATTATAAACACGTAAGTTCTATAATTCTTAAGTACCAAAGATCATATATATATATATTTTACAAATAAAGTGAAGAATCAATAAGAACTCCAGTTTTCTCAAGAAAAAGAAAATACGTTTTCACCAATTCTACTTACTCCAAGCTGTTTTACACTGTGGTATCAATTATGTAACATATTTTTAAATGTTTCACACACACACAAAAAAAGGAAAAAACTACAGTTAATTTTTCAGTTTCCAATCACAAAGCTTCTTTACCTAATGACTAGACAAAGCAAGGAGGATCCAGCGGGTTTCAAAACCATAAATGTTTCTACAAGAAATGAGTGAATTTCTATTCTATTCTATATATATATATATATATATATATATATACATATATGGGAAAATGGAACAATTTATAAATGGATAGGTTTTTGAAGGACAACATACACTGAATTAAATATCTCAAATCCAGGACTCTAGAACAGGGTTATAAAACCCATATTGTTTCTAGTCTTGACTTTGACATCCGTCATTTTGCCAGAAGTCCACTCTAGATCTTTCAAATACTGCAAAAAGTAAAAGCAGAAGGCAGCCTGGAAGCCTGCAATACGTCCTTCAGCGCCCAGCTGACTCTCCAGTTCCTCGTTTTGTCACCTGCCTCTTACTCTCACCTACCCACCTAGTTAGTGAAATACATCAGTCTGTATTTGGAATCGTTCACATCAAGGAACTCAATAAAATTAAAATACGAAAAAGTTCAGAGTCTCATTTCGATGTATGTAAACTTGTTTTAAAAAATAATATTTTAAAATGATTTTTTTTTAAAGAATTTTTTTATGATAAAGTTTTATTCAGATAATTGTCTTTCTCATCCTCCCTTGGTATTCTGTGGAAGGCTTTATCAGTCTGACATAACAGAGGTCACTAATTCTACAGAACTCATGTTTGTTTTCTGATGCTGGCACTTTCTTCTTAAGAATTGCCAAAACCTACAATGCTGTAATCATTTATGATTATGATGCTGTAATAATGTGGAGCTCTGGCAGCAGAGTGTCTAAGGCATCTGACTGCTAACCAGAGGTTGGTGGTTCAAACCTACCAGCCACTTTGTGGAAGCAAGACTGGGAAATCTACTTCCTTCAAGATTTACCTACCGCCTCAGAAACTCACTGAGGGTCGCTATGAGTCGGAATTGACTTGATGGCAGAAGTTTTTTGGTTTTGTAATCATTTGAACTCAGGTGATTAGCACCCCTTTCTAGTATATATTTCATGTTTAAGATATGAATTCCATGAGGAAATCTGTGCTTATTGATATAAAATCTTTAAATTTACAAAAATTATGACTTTTACAAGACCTGTTGTTGTTGTTGTTGTTATTTGCCGTCAAGTTGGACCCGACTCATAGCGACCCCTCCTTGGATTTCCGAGGCAGTATCACTATGGAAGTAGATTGCCCCATCTTCTTTTCGAGGAGTGGCTGGTGGGTTTGAACCGCCAGCCTTCTGGTTAGCAGTCAAGTGCCTTAACCAGTATGTTACCAGAGCTCCCTAACAAGACCTAGTTACATTTAATACCTAATTAAAAATGAATTTAGAGCCACAAAGTGTGCTCAAGTAGAGAAAGGAGGAATAGGGCATGGGAAGTTACTTAGAAATTTCTAAATTTCTAAAAGTTTAAACTGTTAGTTACCAATATAGTTGGTTATCCCCGCTGTTTCTAAGGACAAAAAAATATGCACGAAACTGTCATCACGGCTGTCTCAAATTCTGTAAGCTTGAGAAGACTGCTCTACCTAATGGGTGTGCACGTTAACAAACTTCTTAATTTACTGACCTGCTAAATGAATTTCAAGCTCCCTGGTGGTGCAGAAGTTGAGTGCTCGGCTGCCAACCAAAGGTGAGTGGTTCGAACCCACCAACCACTCCACGGAAAAAGATGTGGCAATCAGCTTCAGTAAAAATTACAGCCTTGGAAATGCTGTGGAGTAGTTCTACTCTGTCCTATAGGGTCGCTAAGAGTTGGAATCAACTCAGTGGCAGTGGGCTGTCTGGTAAATAAATTTATGTTAATGGATCCACAAAACCCAAACTCACTGCCTTCGAGTCAATTCGACTCATAGCAACCTTCCTTGGGTTTCCAAGGCAGTACCTCTATGGAAGTAGGTGCCCAGTCTTCCTGGGCAATCAAACCCTCATGGGTTTGAACTGCCAGCCTTCCGGTTAGCAGTCAAATAAATGCTTTAGGCACTACGCCATACCAGCTTTTAATTTTCTGTCAAAATCAGATGCCTGAATGCAAATCTACCCTACTTGTGTCAAAAGCCTGCTCCTTTTTCTTCTGCTCAAGTAGCCATACCTGACACTGTTTCTGCTTAAGAACCTCAGGTACACATTTTAACTGTGGGAATAACTCTTCTGCTACAGTAACTTCATCATTTCAACTCTAACTTCCCAGACATGTTTATTACCTGGGACCATGTGGGCCCACAATTTGCCTATTCCCAACCTTTAAGTCAAAAATGTCTGGATTTCATTCACAAGTATTTTCACCCAATACATCAGTTGAAAAGCTCAGTGTGCAGTTACTCAAATTCTGACTCCTACAAGTTAACAATGAAAGGTCCACTAATCTGATTTCTTAAAAAAAAAGTTAAGTATGGTGAACAAGTAAACCCTACACAAAACTCCCAAACACCTCTTTTACATAGAAAGTGATTAAACAGAATTAACCGACTACATTAGAAAAACTATGGTGTAATTTCAAGGTCTCATACCTTGGTCGAGTAAGAATGTTCAGCTTTCTTTTAAGTTCTTGATGTTATTACTCGTTAAGGAACATAAGCTATCATTACAATGTAAAGAATCACAAAGATCATAAAATTCAACTAGTAACTCTCACTTTTGGTGTCGGAATATTGCAAACATTAAAAAGACTCACAAACAGCTTCAGAAGAACACACACTGAGCTCTGGTTTTGGTGGTAGGCATACGAGCCATTTCATCCCACTCAATTACACTCTAAGACACGGGCACACCGTTCAAACGAGACTAACAGAATGAACCAAAAACGTTATACACATAATGGTACTCCGATCAAAAGTCAAACAGCCAACAAACTATTCATTTACTTAAAATTTCCAAGTCAAAGCATGTAAAATCAAGCAAATACCATCTAGCAAAACGTTAAAGAATCAAGGATGGAATCTAGGATGTTCCCTGTTCAATTCTAAATGTTTCTGTATTTTGAAACTTTTCATAATTAAATGTTGAGAAAAAAAAGACATCATGAAAAAATGCGATTGTGAAAACGTCAAAGACTCATCTAAGTCTCCTAAACTGCTTTCAGGGTTCTTTCCAATTTGTGAAAGGATAACTACCTGAACCAAAACTATCCGTGTGGATAGTAAAGCAACAAAACAACTCTAAGCATGTAAACAAACATACCAGAAAATCTCTTTAGAAAAGTTGTAATCACGTAACTCAAAGAAAACGGAAACTTATTTGGCGCGTTTTTCCTACAGCAATGCAATCTACACTCACCAGAGAAGCTAGCTCCAAGGAGAAGAAATCTAAAATGAATTCCAGTGTTCATCAAACATTTAACTCTTTTTCTTCGCATGTCCGGAAACCCTTAAATGCCTCAACTCGGAACACTCGCTTTTCCCTCCGCCATAAAAACAGATCTGCGCCCAAGTCTAAGAATCCGGTACCTCACGGTAAATTATAACGCGATTGTTACACAACTTCAGCTTGGAGGCAAAAAAATGGAACCGGATAACGTCCCCACACCGTGGGGAGGAAGGGTGAACAGTGGTGAATATTCCAAAATCTAACAGAACAGTTGAGAATAACCCTAAAAACACAAATCAGGGGGCGGGAGGAGCAAAACCTAGCACTGGATAAGGATCCCCAAAAGGGATGAGGGCGGCGTCGAGGCCGCGCGCGGGGCAGCTTACGCAACACGAATCCCAGAGTCTCAGCCGCCTGCTGTGCAAGAGTAATTACTTGGAATTCTAGCCCTGTTGGAATTTCCGCCGCCCCATTCTACCACCACACACCAGTCTGACACAGCCTAGCGAGCGGGAAGGATATTCTCGGCGCGAAGCTGCCCGATGGTGGCCTCACACTGCCGAAGCTGCTCCCGGAGCTCCGCGTCGCCAACCCCATTCTCTTCCGCTTCCTCCTCGTCGTCGTCGTCCTTGAAGCGGGTGTGAACGGGGTTCGGAATCGACTCCTCGGGGTGGTCAAACGCTTCGAACAGCTCTAGGTCGCCAAAATCCACCTCCGCCGCCATCTTGGGTTGGGGAAAAGATTCTAGAACAGGCGGAGCCGGCCACTGGGCCCTGGGCGAAGGTTGTAGGGCGGCACCGCTCTTTAGGGCTGGGGCCGCACCGAGCCACCCTGTCCGGTTTCTTCAAACGTAGGCTGCGGAGGGTGCACAAGGGGCGGGTTAGTCCCCAGGGACTACAACTCCCAGAATGCAATGGCCTCCCTCAGAGCTAGTTCAGAGAGTGCTTAGAAGCAGGGCATGCCGGGACTTGTGGTTTCTAAGCGACGATTAATGCATTGTTTGCATTGCATACTGGGATTGGTCCTCTTTAAACGTGAGAAAAGTGTGAGTATATCGGAACATGCTACAAATATGGGTTGTTCTTGTTGCGCATCTAAGGCTGAAAAATCAGAGCCCGATGAATGGCCTATCGCAGATTCTGGTGTGCATGCTAAACAGCCAACAGGGAATGACGAACTCCAATTTTGCCACAGACTACCTTTATGATTTTAGGCAAGCTACTTCAGCTTTTTGACTTGTTTCCCTTTTTTTTCATGTAAAGTTAGCGACTCTCAGTAGACTATTTTAGTTGTATCTGTAGCTTTCTTTTTTTCTTCTTCGATCACTCATTCATTCAACCAGTATTGATTCATCATCTTCAACGTGGCTGGCGCTGTTCTAGTACCTGAGGATATGAGTGAGGAAGAGAAAATTTTCTGGTCTCATGTTTTATCAAGAGAAACAATGAAATATCATTATAAAAATGTTGTTGTTATTTGCCATCGAGTCAGCCCCGACTCCTAGCGACCC